TGATGTAGACGAGAGAGAAAGGCCTGGCCACCGATTTCTGCAAATGAGCCAATGGCAACCCTATGCTTCTCCACCTTAACCACTAGAAGGGGGAAAAAATAGATGGTGCTTGCCTACCGCTTCTTAATGTTCTGATCAGGGCCCAGTAGATGAATCCTAATTAAAAGGGAAGAAAATGTGAAACAAAACTTCAAACTCTTACAGAGTTCAAGCCTCCTGGATTTATTGAGGCTGGAGATGTCCCCGAGACGGCGGGCCTGAGTTGTTCTTCAAGTGGTGAATTGAAGCTGGACCTTGGAATTGCTTTTAAACTCCTTTACAGTTGAGCCTGAAGAGTCAGATTCCCACCTGTGGACCTATCTTTTAAAAATTATGAAGAATAACAACCTCATGGAAGACTGGAAGGTCCACAGTGACCGTAGCGCACGCACAGGTGAGAAGTTTAGTGAAACGACTAGAGCAGACATCATGGGAAGATTGACACCATGGGAAGATTGCAAAACTGACAAATGGGAATAGACTTTGCGCTGTATTCTTTCACAAAAATAAAATTTTAAATAAGGAAAGGGAATAAAGAAAAAAAGAAAGCCCCGTGGCTCGCAGTAGTGTGCTCCGCACGCAGTGGCGGGCAGCGTTTCCTTCCTTTGCGCAGGAGGTCTTCCCAAGACAGCAGCTGACAGCAGCGAGTCCCTCGTTCAGTCGAGATTGGGAAGGATGCCTAGAAGTCTCCGCTGCTACCTCCCGAAGCTTTCATCCAGAGAAGCCAGACTCCCTGCCACGAGTCGATTCCACCCCGGCGACCCTGGAGGCCGACGAGGGTTTCTGAGACTGTCCGCTCTTTCCAGGAACTGCGGACGTTGCAGTTGGCAGCCCAATGAGTAGCCGCTGTGCCGCCGGGGCTCCTTAAACTGCTTCTGGACACTTGAAAATACCGCACTTGACTATAAAAACCTATGTTTCACTGTGAAAGCTTATATATCTTATTTATTAGTTGACCAACCTTTTTAGGTCAAAGATTTGTCTACACACAGACCTCTGCACAGATAATTGACTAATAGCAAACCTTCATTCCTAAAATCCTAACACATTTTTCCATGTCTTTCTTAGACTCCTCTGTTTCAGGTCCTCGCAGTCACAGCTCACACTAATAATGGCCCTGCTCTCGGTACTGTGCGACACACCCTAACTCACTTAATCCACACTTGTGACCCTGGTCTCTCACCTGAACTCTGGCGCTATATTTTCAAGTGTGCATAGAGCAGTGAAGAAGCCTTGGGGGTGCAGTGGGTTAGGCTTTAGGCCCAACTGGAAGGTCAGCAGTTCAAGCCCACTGGCCGCTTGGGAGAAAGATGAGGTGGTCTGTTCCCGTAAAGAAAGATTTACAGCCTCAGAAACCCTGCTTAAGGTGGTGCTGAGTCAGCATTGACTTGATGGAAGTTGGTTTTATGGGTCAGAAATGGTTCGATGGGAGAGGGCTTGTAGCACAGAGCAGTTGCCCATCTGAACAGCTGTTGCCTCCAGTTGACTATATGTCAAACTTCCACGTCCTTATCTGCCAGAATCATTTCCCACGCTGCTTTTCGCATCAGATAGACCCGGCAACAGCCCCAAATCTGTTTACAGCCGCATAATCAGCTACAGGATGCTGCATCTACAGTTTCCTTCATGCAGATTGGAGGTGATGGTTCTAATACTAAATACTTGCTTCGTAGCCTTGTCCTGAGAACCTCCCAAGGGATTCTCTGCTTCCTCCTTCACACACAGCAAGCTCTTGGGCAGGGAGTGTCTGTTGTGGTTGTCGTTTAGAAACCGAACAAAGCACTCTCTCCTCATCAGAGCTCCCTGTTCCTCCTGCTTACTGGTCAACTCTGTGGCCAACTCTCAGTTCTCCCTGTCGCTCTGAGTTGCCCTGTCACACTCCAGTCAGTGCCTCATCTCCTCAGGCCTCCATTGCTGCCTCTGCTCCCTCCAGTCTCCTTTCCGTCAACCCCCCAGCCTCTGTTCAACACAATATAAAAATGATCTCCTACCCACAACACTTTAAGTTATTCCTTTGCTCTGGAACCTACAAAAGCCTCTCACGGCCCACTATCTCATGCTCCGATTCCTCAGCTAGATTTATAAAATTCTTCTCATAATTTGCTTCCAACCTTTCTGCTCAGTCTTCCCTCCCATTGACTCCCCAGCATTCTCGTTTCACTCCAGGTTGGCTGGTGTCCTCGCCGTCTTGAGAGCACATGTGCAGTGCTCATCCCTAACTCTCTGGAGCCCCACCTCCGGGCTCACCTTGTTACAGAGATCATGTAGAATGCATAGAGTTTCCTTTCCGGGATGCTCCTTTGCAAGCCCTCCTTTCAATACAGTCTCGTACCTAGGGCCTCTTCTAAGTTGTCCTCTACTTACTGTTGACTCACTAGTACTTTTATGTAACATTTATCTCAGACACAAGGAGCCCTGATGGGGTAGTGGTTATGCATTGGGCTGCTAACCACAAGGTCAGCTGTTCGAAACCACCAGCCGCTCCATGATAAAACTTTCTATTCTACTCCCGTAGAGTTTGGGCCTCAGAAACTCCCAGGGCCATTTCTGCCTGGTGGGGTTGAGATGAGTCAGAAGGGATTTGATGGCAGTAAGTTGTTTTTGTTTTCACCTCAGACACAGTATCGAGGGGGCCAGTGTCATGTGCTGTGCCCATGAGGGGCTGCAGCCCCATGTAGAGTGGTGACCACCTGCAGGAGCCAGCTTCTGCTCCGGTCAACTGCTGTCAGATTTCCCAAACAGTTTTCAAGAGAAAAATATCGATTGTTTCTTACTTGACATTTTCTAATTTTAGAATATTGGCAACTAATTTAAAATCTTTATTAAATGTTGTGAGAGAAATAAAATAGATCTCTATGGCTAGATAGAGCCCTGGGACTGTTAGTGTGTCTCTTCAGCTTTGTAGTTTTTATTAATTGAAGACAGAGACATTTTCTGATTGTTTCTGGGTTTCGTTTCTGTCTCTCTAACCAAGTTATCAACTCCAGGGACCTCCCCTTACTCATTGTAGGCACCATGGAGGAACCTAAGATAGAACCACTTAGAATCACGTTGTTGGAATATTTACAATAAAAAACACAGCAATGCTGCTGTAGCTGCTTGTGTGCAAACACCTCATGCTATTTAGTTGCTTAGTTGGCAGTTTAGAGGTCATGGTTGCGTGGGACATCCTAGCTAATGGGCTTCATCGTGTGTTTAGGGCTCCTGGTCTACCTCTGAGTTTGTTGCAAGTGAGCCTCCGTGGGACAGCAGGTGTTCTTTCTCACCTGAAAAGCAGACAAACCAGAGGAAAGAGGAGAGCCAGGAATGCGGGGAGGCTGTGGAATGTGGGGTTCACTGCCTCTGTGAACAACTGTCTCCTTTGCTGCGCTGGGACCAGAGAGGGACGGGTCCTGGATACCATGACTGAATATTGTGGACACAGCTTTCCGAACAGAATCCTGGTGACAGAATAGAATCTCAAGTTCTCCTGGTTCTGACTTCCTGCAGTATGGAGGGTGGGTGACACCCTTGAACTCTTGTTCTGAGGTCATCTTTACAACGTAAATCAAAACTGTCCCCTGAAGCCATCCTAAAACCAAACAGTAGTTTTGCTTAACTAGGCAAAACAGGTCTGCCTTAAGCAGTATGCTCTTTTCAGAAATGTAAGGACAGGATCAGATTTGACAGCAGCACCTGGGAAGATTAGACAGCGAGTTTTTGTTAATGAGGAAGGAGTAGCTCGGAAAAGGAGGCTGCGAAGGCTGTGCACCTGAAAGCGTAACCGGTGTCCTGTATTGTACATGTGGAAACTGTGGAAATGGCACATGCTTTCCTGTCTGCGGGAAATGTCTTCCAAATGTCCCTATAAATGTTTCATGATCACTTTCAATGTTCATTATGTTTAATCCATTTTCCCACACTTTTCCTCGTCCCTGGTGTATTATTCTCAACAGCAACAAAATACAATTAGGAAGGGGGCAAAAATCACCTTGTAGATTCATTTATTCAAGACATTTTAAGGGGCTTATAGTTATGTGACATGCATAACATTTCATGATTGTTATTTTCTGGCCTCTTTCTCTCAATTGGGAAATCTGCAGTGGACATACTCAGTGTGTCTGCCATGCCTGAGTCTGACCCCTCTATTCATCATCAGTTTTATGTCCCGGCTGGCTTGTTGGTTAGTCACTATGTGGCACAGAGCTGGATTTTTCCGTGGCAAGAGGAACAGACTGGGTTACTTTTACATTTCACGATGAATTTGCCACTAAGTAACATATGATATCATTGGCTAACATAGTAGATGATCATAGTATTTGCCACTTAATAAGCAGACAACAAATATTAGTTGTGGTTTTTTTTTCCCTTTGCCCACTCCTCGATGCATGCCTTCTGCAATAAGGACTGAATTCTGGTTTTGTGCCAAGATGAGCTGACGTATGAGTGAAATATTCATTACAAAATATATGTAATTATGTGTCTAGATTCATCTTAAACCCATCACGCTTTATAAAGGACATTTTGTAGTGAGGAATTTAGAATGAATAATTGAAAGATCTTCACTCTCCTTCTTTAACATACCACACACTTACATGTCGGACTTCCTGTCTGGTTGCCATGATATCATCTCAACAACGCGTCATGATACTTCACCCTGAACAGTTAGCATTAGACACAGGCGACTCTGTTTGACTCATCTTCATTTGGACTGAAAAGGGGAACATGTTTGATCAACACCTGGGCACTCATAACTATTGAAACCGGATTGTTAATCTCAATCAAAAGGCCTCAAAGAAGACATCGCTTAAAAGCCTTACTAATAAACTGTTATTTCTTTCGACTTGGAAAGGTTACAAAAGTACGAGAAGGGAAGCTAGCAATCTCCTGGTAACTGTCAACTATTGTCTCATACCCCCTGTAATGTTTTTTCTGAGGGAGTTACACAAACGCGGCTGTACTTTTTCTGTGGTTTGCTGCAGGTACTCAGCGTGCCAATGCCCGAGCTCCAGCACCTTACAAGCGGGATTTTGAAGCCAAACTAAGGAACTTCTACAGGAAGTTAGAGACTAAAGGATATGGACAAGGCCCAGGAAAATTAAAGTAAGTCAGCATGATGTACACCATATGACTTAGAGATGATGAAACGCTGCCTGGGAATTTAGGAAATTGATTGTGATTTGGGATAGCCAGCATTTGGGGGTGGGGAGGGTCAGCATCATTATTTTGAATTTGTAAGCTACAGGATCGTATAAAACATAGCCCCGGAATTAAGTGTGATTACAGAAAAATTGAGGTTCTCAAACAAACCATAAAGAGATTACTGCGTTTCTGGTAGAATGATAGGCAAAATTAAAAGATGATCTTCTTTTCCTCTTGAGAAGTTACCACTTTGTGGGCCCTTATATATTCGTTAGAAGGCTGTCACCGTAACCCACCTGCCCTTCTACTGTCTCTGGGTTAACCTGTACAGAGGAATCCTGGCCCCCGCTGCTTGGTTCTCTGAAGCAAACTGAGCTTGTTCAAGAGAATCGCTCATGAATGTCATTTCTGCCTTTCTGTAGCCACTTCCCTATAAATGAGGAAACTAAAACATAATCGCACTGGCCTGGAGTTACATTTCTTTCCCGTTCACCCCAACTGCCCCCTGATCCCCACCTCCACTCCTGCCCCCTGCACTACCTACCAGCATGCCACTGTGGCACCTGAGAAAGGATGGAGGAGGGAGCGTCTCCAGTGCGCCCCAGCCCTGGAGCTGTGGGCCAAAGGCCAGCTCCACAGCCGCACTGCACCGGAAGGTGTGCTTCTCATTCACCTTGCCCTGAAAGAGCGCCTGGAGCACACATGTGCTACTGAGCTCTACCTTTCCCACGGCTTCGCTGAGGAAGGTCTTCAGCATCAAGTGTCCTGTGTTTGGCCTCCTCTTTATCGGCCTTTCATTCAAGGGCAAAGTGATATCTGTTTAAGAGTAGTTTTAATTGTATCCATCAAAAAAATGGAATAATTCATTACAGGCACTCTTCATTTGTATCTGTCCCTTAGAAAATCTCAAGATTCACTTAGTCCAGAAATTAAGTATAATTGTAAACTCCCCTGCTTTGCAGGGCACTGGTCTCCCCCGCTCACCCCCCCACCTCGCCCCCCCCAACACCCCGCCCCCACTTGATCTTCCCCTCCCCCTTGGTCTCACAGTCATCGCCCAGGGCCTGCGGGCACTTAGTAACTGAATTCCTTGTGCATTCAGGCTTAGAACATGACCTCATAAGCTTATTCTTCTTTTACTGAGCTAAGGTTTTGTATGTGTTGCTGTATAAGCATTTTCTTACTGGGATAAAATGATTTGACCAATTAGACTGAACTCCCAAGTTTATTATCACCCATCCTAGGGGGGATGCTCTAATTACCAGTTACTCTCTCTTACATAACGTTGGTTAATGCTATGAACAGTTAAACGTAAATGTGTGCTTTATCATAGGCAGCAAGGATATTCAGTACAGCCAACTCTCACCTCATTTGTTGTGGTAGATTGAAATTAAATGACAAATGTCAAACCCAAGAAAGCTAAGAACTAGGGAATAACCTGTGTTTTTCCCACACTGTCTCTACTGAACAGGCTAATCATCAGAAGAGATCACTTACTAGAAGATGCTTTTAATCAGATTATGGGCTACTCCCGAAAAGACCTGCAGAGAAATAAGCTGTATGTCACATTTGTCGGAGAGGAAGGGTGAGTAGAACAGAGAAGTGGCCTGTGGAATGCAGGCTGCTACCACAAGGCCGGATGTTTCACCACATCGATGTGGTTTGCCTGAAGCAGGAAATCCTTCTGGCAGGAAATGCTGTTCTCGTATACTTCAACCTTTCGGTTGCTTATTTGTTGTGTGTGTGTGTGTGTGTGTGTGTGTGTGTGTGTGTGTGTTTCTCTGTTTGTTTGTTTTTTCCTACAACTTCCTCTGGTTTTTCCATCATTTGACATAGAAATTATTTTGTAAATCACATGGCTGTAGATGACTTCATGAGTTGGAGGTTGGCTTGGTTTCTTCTCTATGCAGCTCTCTTCTCTGAAAGAGAAGAAGCAGGATCTGTACGGAGGAGAGGGGGAGGGAATTGCGTTCGAACGTCTGTGATCTTGTTGTCTGCACTGCAGGGTCAGTTAGAACACGCTTCCCTGGTTTTATATGCTCAGTCCCAGTACCTGAGTAGGAGCCTGTGGTACTTCCCAGAGGCCTCCAGAGCAGTGATTCCTGGGCCTTGTTCTTATTTCTCCACCCCGTTTTCCTCTTCCCTTGGGAGGGCAGGACACCCACCAAAATAACTACCTGCTGTAAACAAGCATGCCCCGCCTTCCGTGACTCTGCCGTGTGCATGCTCACACAGATAAGAATTAGGAAATAGAGGTGTGAAGACGCCCACACAGTTGTCTGTTGTATCCCAATAAGCCTAACAGTTGCTATGCTCCTCAGAAGGTAACACCATTCATCCTTCCCACAACTTTTCCTCTTTTGTCATTCCAGTCTCTGACCTACCGTGTAACCTAGTTGCCTTCAGGAAAAATTGGGAAAAATACCACCTGCGTGTCTGAGCTCTGATTGGCTCTTCCTTGATTGTGTTGGTCTGAATCCTTTGCAGGCAAGCCCTCTCCATCATGCTGCGGAATACAGTGCACTAGATCATGGAATCCTAGAAGTACTGTCTAACAAAGTGAGCTGTTCAATACACAGTGTGTAAAGCGAAGGCTCCGTAAACTCAGATAACTGATGGAGTTAGGATTCAAACCCAGGCCTTTTGTCTTTTATCTGCTCTCCCCGACTCACCCGGCACTGAGACACAGTGAACATTCCATGTTTCCTATCCCTGGAGCCTTATATCTTTCCAGCTAGCCACTGACAACCTTACTCTTGGCACACGCGCTACTGTCGAGTCTTCCCTATCACTAGATTAAAGACAGATAGTATGTGGGAGTTCACAATCCTATAAACCAAGTTTGGGTACAGTGTGGCCAACATTTGAGCCCTTCCATGTTCATGTGCAAAATGAACTACCAGCTGTGCTAGAGAGCTTGAAGATGCAGGTGCACGTTAGGGAAAGGAGGAAGCTGTCTTCAGTCGTATCGCAAGCATGCAATGGATTCCAAGTATTTCCTCACATAACCCGTCTGCTTTGGATAAGAACACTTTTCCTCCCCCAGAACTCCAGCCGCCTTCCTTCTTTGTTGGACAGTGGTTTGCTGAGGTCTCGAGAGATTCAGTGAAGAGTCTTTTGAAGCCATTGTACTTAAGCTCAAATAGAGTACATGCTCATACAGTCTTCCAAAGCAATCCTCCTGCAAGCTGGACAGGTGACATGAACTCCAAAGGAACAGGGCTAGGTACAGGGCTGATTCATTTATAGTTAGTTGACATTGGGATCCAAACACTTTCTGCTGTCATCACCTGTCTCCTTTCCGTAACCCCCAGAGGTAAAACAAGAGGTAGCATATTTTGATGCAGGATGTCAATCACCAAGGAACAAACAGTCTCTTAATCTGTCTCTTTTGTTGTAGATGATTCATTAATGCAGGAATTGATGTCTTTTAACTTTTGCAATCTTTCCGAGTACATTGGCTCTATCCCAACATAGTAAAAGATTTTAAAATTTCTTGCTGCCTTATAATAAAAACCCAAACTGAAAAGCTCGTGGGCAGAGCCTGTGGCTGTTACAAATGATTAACTCATCCAGTGTCTAGTCAACAAGTTCTCACCAACCAGAAGTGCCTTCAAAGAAAGGCCTAGTGATCACCCTCTAAAATATACGCCGCTGACTGAGTGCGAATCTGATTAGTACGGGGGCAGAAGAGATTCAAGATGAACCTTAGGAAGCATTGCTTCCTGCCAGAGAGTAAGAGAATGTTCAACCTTCTACAATTATGGGAAGAGCTCCCAATGGCCAAAACTGGAGAAATTTGAGCAACAAAATAAATAAGGCAGTATTAGAGTATAACCCAATCTATAATATAAATATCCATGAGTGTGTGTGTGTGTGTGTGTGTGTGTGTGTGTGTGTGTGTGTAAATGGAGAGATACTGGGATATGTCACTAAAGGACTTTTCTTATTTTCATGTTCTCTGCTTTACTGCCACCACAATAAATGTTGGTACGTGTATAGCTTCATCTATATACTCAGGGATAATAAAGTAGAAATATATCATATATAAAATTTTTAAAAGAATAAACTATTTACTGTTTTATGTTGCTGATGTCAGCCTTACATTATTTATGAAATAATAATAGTTTGTAATTCTTATTAATCTGTCTCTCTGGTTGTATTATTATACTGCCACTATCAGGCTCTGAGCTTACCTCTAGAAGCACTGAAATGTTCTGGAATTCCCATTCCTCATAATGTTGTCCATAATTTGTTAGTCTCCACATAGGTGAATGCTTTTGCATAGTCAATAAAATACCTCATAGTCAATGAGCTCAAGTATAACAACCGTTGAGATGGACAGCACTCAGTAGAGGGACACAGGGGGACAGGAGCATCAGTTAAGAACGGGAAGATCTCAGCAGCTACCAGTGAGGTGCCCCCAGGAGGGGTCAGATATCCTGCACTTGCTGGCAGTGGGAAAACCAACTTAAAGGCTAAGTGGATTCAAGTTTCTTTAAGTTAGAGGCAGCAATGCCTGCCAACCGACTCCCTTTTACCATTGACCCAGAGGCATGAGCGGTGGCAGTGAACCCTGCCCCTCTCTGGCATAGACCATTTTTCCTGGTCCCTGAGGCAACCCAGCAGCCAAACCTCTTAGCCCACTGGCCTCTGGGACTATGCGTATACAGTAAACTATGCACGTAACTTGGCGCAGATATTCTCGGCACCCACAGCATAGTTTTTGCCATTTTCCCCCTTCCTCCTTATCTCCTGCTTACTTGTTTGGTGCTGCCCCACCTCCCCTGTACAGCACATGCATGCACATGTGACACTTAAAGGAGCAGCCACACTCCTGAGAATAATCTAGACGAAATGGACAAATGCCTAGAAATACACCAGCTACACAAATTAACACAGAAAGATGTAGAAAATCTGATCAGACTCATAACAAAAAAAATTGAAAAGTTCATTAATGGACTTCCAACCAACAAAAGCCCAGGACTGGATGGTTCCACGGGGGTGGGGTGGGGTGGGGTTGTACTTGGTATTCAGACCAAGTCTACAGATTATTCAAAAATGTAGATGCAAAAATTCTAAACAAAATTCTGGCCAATAGCATCTAACAACATATCAAAAAAAAAAAAAAAATCCACTCACCATGTCCAAGTGAGAGTTATACCAGAGATGCAAGGATAGTTCAACATTTGAAAATCAATCATTGTAATCCACCGCAATAAAGAAGACAAAGAATAAGACCACAAGATCATGTCAGCAGTTGCAGAAAAAGCATTTGACAATATCCATGACTTATTTCTGATGAAAAGCACTCAATAAAATAGGAGTAGAGGGACATTCCTCAACATCATAAAGGCCATATGTGATATCCGATGGTCAGCATCATACTCATTAGGGAAACATGGAAAACATTTCCCCTGAAAATAGGAACTAATAAAGGTGCCCCTTATACAACTCTTACTCAACATCATGCTGGAAGCCATTAGACAGTAGAAAGAAATCCAGGGAGTGCAACTGAGCAAAGAGAAGTGAAACTCTTGCTGTTTTCAGTTGATCTGATTTCATAGGGTTAGACCCTCAAGGGCTCCACAGAAAGACTCTTGGAAACAATGGGGGGAGGGTTGGTAAAGTAGTAGGATATAAGAGTAGCAAGCAGAAATCAACCAGATTCTTATATACCAGTGAAGAGAGCTCCAAAAAGACACCAGGAAAACAATACCATTTACAATAACTACATAAAAGATACTAGGAATAAACCTAACCAAAGAAACAAAAGACCTATACCAAGAATATTATAGAACATTCTTACAAGAAACCAATAGAGACCTACACAAATGGGAAAATATTCCATGTTCATGGATAAGAAGACTTCAAGTACTCTACAAATATTACACAACTCCAATTTAAACCCAGCTTCATTCTTTAAAGAAATGCAGAAACAAATTACTAACTTCAGGTGGAGAAGAAAGTGACCCAGGATAAGCAGAGAACTTCTCAAAAAGGAGAACGAAGGAGGAGCCATTGTACCACCTGACCGCAATCCTGCATAGCAACAGTAGGCAATGCAGCCTGGTACTGGGACCAGCTACATAGACCAATGGAATGCAAGCATCCACCTACACGCAATTGGTTTTTTTAACAAAGAACCAAGAAACATCAAAGGGGAAACAAATATACAGAGAAGATGCTTTATTTTGAAGAATGACACATCTGCTTGCTTCTCAAAAGATGTGAATTAGCAGCTTCTGAGGGAGATTTCCACTGTGCCCTAAGTAATTTCTTTGCATAGGTCTAAAGCATGATCTAAATTGTTCCTGAAATGAAAGATTGAGTCTAAAGAAATGAAGAGAAAATTCATCATTCAGAATGTATAGAATGATGACAAATTCTATGTGACATGGAATTAATTCCAGAATGTTAGAGTTTGACACCCCCTCCCCCAAACAAGAGTACAAAAGTAATTCGAGAGTCTGAAGATGCAATTTGAGAGCCTCCAGATGAATGCCAATGCATTAGTTGACATTTAACTGAATGCTAATTCTTAACTGCAGTTTCAAATTATGTTAACTTATGAAATTTAGAGGA